GTGTTCCCTAAAGTCTAGAATTGTTTAGCCTATAATACCTGCTCAATAAGCATTTGTTGGATGAACAAATTAACTAAATTTAAAGCAGGGGACCAGGACAAAATAGCTACCATTAATGGATGCAAACTTTCTGAATGAGGATATAATTTGAGGGTAAGGTGATGATTTGGTAGTTGGACAAGGTAACTCTGAATTAAAATAGTGATGTTCAAGTGGAAAAAATGGTTTAGAAATTAAATAACAAATACAAGACCATAGCTGGAGGAGAGTTTCATAGCTGTAGATAAAAGAAATGGTGGATTTGTGAGCACTTCGTGAATTCACTAAAAAAGCAAATATCTAGACTAGCAAGGAAAAATTAGGAAATATTTACCAGAGAGAGGAGGAGCAGGAAGAGGCAGGGATGTAGGATATATGGAACAAATGAAAAACATAAAGAGAAAGAAAAAGAGAGAGAGAGTGGGGAGAATCCAGTGTGTTTAAATTTCAGGAAGAACCTTAAGTGTATAAAGGGACAAACAAATAATAGAGTTTTATTTTTGTCCAGTAGGAAAGAACTGAAAATATTTCAGAGCAAATACAAAGAGTCAATGGGATTTTAGATGTCAGGGATGCTAAGAATTGGAGCTTGAGTCATAGGTGGTAGAAAGCGATGCATAAGAAACATTTGTAACTATATAAGGCATGGTTTTGGAAAAGAATAGGCACTTTTCCTCACAGACACCAGGAAAGAGAACGAGAAGCTAACTATGAGAAAAGAATAGAGATAAAGAAATGTATAAAAATTGAAGTGTCACATTCTTTTTAATAGACTAGGTGGAGGGATGTCATGCCAAGGCAGGGATGGGACAGCTGGGATTAGGAATGTAGAGAGAGAGAAAAGGTCTAAAATAGATCCCATGGGGAGCAGGCCTGAGAGTACAGAAAAGACAATTAAAAAGACTGCCAAATAGCAGCAGAAACCAGATTGAAGTTTGAAAGCATGGAGTTCTAATGAGCCAAATCTGCAATGCTTTGTTTGCCTCTAGCAGTGCTCTCTCTCCTGGGAGAAGCTGCAAAGAGAGCAAGAGTGAGAGGTAACCTACGTTTTGAAATTTGCTAGATGTGCAAAGTTGCAAAGCTTATTAATGAAGAGACAAATCTTGTGAGTGAAAATCCAACTCATTTGAAGCAAGGTGGGCAACAAACCTGTGTCTGATCAACGAGGAGTACTTCCCAAAAAGTGGGGAAAGTAACATTTGAGTTCTGAGTTGAAAATCTGAAACTTTCAAGGAAATTAGAAAGCTAATTTCTCACTTCCCTCTTGCCACACCACTCCTGCTGAGACCACAGCAATGGGAATGAACAAAAACTATATGAAATTAGAAGATTTTTACCACTGGAGCACTGCTGTGAACAAAGATATTAGGTAGGGGTGTGAGGGTAGGAGGGTAAAGGAGGGATACAATTAATACCAAAGTGGGAACTGTCTAAAATTGTATGCATTTCTGAGACATCAGAGTGTCTCAGAATGCATTTCCAAGACATTCAGAATGACTAATTTTTAAATTACATGCAACCCACTATATGTAAAAAGTAGATTTTTTGTTGTTGTATACACTTTGAGATTACTAAATTATTACTCTCTTATATAAATACAGGCTCTGCTTTTTAATGGAATCCTAACACTTACTATTGGTGCAATAAAACCATCTAGAGTGCAGATATGGTCCTTCCTCCTCTCTGACTTCTCACCCCACTCTCCACATGGCTCATTCTGCTACAACCACCTCCACCTTTTTTTAGTTCCCAGAATAAATCAAGCTCATTCCCAACTCAGGGCCCTTACACCAGCTGTTCCACAGCGTCTGCCACGCTCTTCCCCCAGACTGGCCCGGAAGGGCCTTCTGGATAGTCAGGTCTCAGCTTAAGTGTCCCCCTCTTCACTCTTCAGACCTTCCCTGATTATTAGCCTAAAGCAGCCTACAGGGACCCTTTATCCCTATATCATCACCTTGGTTTTTGTTGTTGTTGTTGTTTATTTATTTATTTTTAGACACAGGGTCTCACTGTGTCAACCAGGCTCTTGCAATCCTTCCACTTCAGGCTCCTGAGTTGTTTTTTTCTCCCCCCAACAATGTTATCTGATACCTCCCTTATTTATATTTATTTGGGTATTATGGTCTGCCACCTCCAATTAGAATACAACCCGCCTGAGGAAAGAAATTCTGTCTGTCCAGGTCACTACTATATCTCTAGCAGCTTACACGCTTTCAAGCACACAACATACATTCAATACATACTTATCTAATAAATGAGTTACTGAATGATGACAAGCTGTTTCTTAATGCTAAACACGATAGAAAGTTATATCAACTAACATTATTCACAAAGTGGTGAAAAGTTTATTCTTTAGTAAGATGTAAACACAGCAATCTAATTCCCTGAAAGAATCTCAAAAGATCATATTGTCTTGTTCTAGGCAATACGTATTATGAGAAACTAAAGTTTATTATAAACTAAAGGATAAAGAAGGAAACATCATTAAAGATGAACCTAAATAAGTCTCAGTAAAAATTTAAATGATCAAATGGACATAAAAATGTCTTTGTTCAGGCTCAGGGAAGTCTGGAAATATACACAGATTTTATAGAGTTTGAACAGTGTGGGATTTAATTAGTTAGGCATGCATACAAACAAAATGTCAGATAAATTTTCCACAAAATAAATTCTGTAAATTATGAGTAATGTTTTTCATATTTGTCTTGCCATATTAGATCTAGAAAACAGGCTTAATTAAGAGGTTAAGAGGAAGTGGACTTTAATCTCTTCTCCACAAAATGCAATCTCTAAATAAGAAATTCAATCTGCAGCCAAGTTTTCACATTTTCTGTGAAAAGTATTGTCTTCCAGCTTATTTCTTTTTTTAGGCAGAAGGGAGGAAGTAGTAAAAAACATCTATAACTCTAATAAATAATTTGTGTTACAAAACCATCATATCATGTAGAATATTGTGTACCAACCATGATCCTCTAAAAATAGATAAAATACACAAATAACCTGCTTTAATATTCCCTTAAGATGCCATATGGGAACTAAAACTCAAAAGAATAAATAAGGACAACGCAGACATATCCAAATTGAGAGACAATCTACAAAATACCTTGCCTAATTTTTCAAGTATATCAAAGTTAAGAAACACAAAATAAGGTTGAAGAACTATCACATCTTTGACTGTGATTTTGTAGAAAAATACTTTCACTCTTAACAAATATATACACTATTTAGGGAAAACAGGAAAGAATGAATGGATAGCCAGACAGATAAGTAGATTGATCTAACAAAACATTTTTAAGGCTATCAAGTGAAACAAAAATGCATTCCGGTCAGTGATGAGAATAATAATAAGCAAATGGTAAACTATAAGCAGATGAAAGAAAGAACCATATGCTATAAGAAATAAACCAATAAAAATGGCAACAACCGGTTTTAAACCCTAATACATTACTACTTTAATTAGATGAATAAAACAGAAATTTAAAGATTTCTTGGACTAAGAGCCTTTATAAATTGGTTATACTTTTTACCAATGTATGGTATTTTTTAAATATTATGGTACTTCAATTATAAGTTAAAAAATGAACAGGAGCTTTAAATCATAAAATAGTATGCAGAAATAAAATTTCATACATAGATGATGCATTAAATCTTTTTTCACTGTCCTTAAAATCATAATTTTTAAACTGAAGCACTATTATTATCTAATGCTAAATATTATAGAAAGTTACATCAACGAACTAATAATAGTGCTTCAGTTTAAAATACTACAAGCAGCTTTGATGTGGTTATTATATTATCCTCACTTTGAAGAGAAGTGAGGAAGCTTTAAGAGAGTAAATATCTTGCCTAAATTTCAGATAGGTGTTATGTGACAGACATGCTAAAATTACAAGGGCTTTCCTCCTCCTGTTCCTTGGACACTACTGACTGTTACATGATCAAAGACTTTCCATCTTGGTATAAAGCTTGAATTTATCTATAGTATTGCCAGTGGTAATTTCAATATTGCTATAGTTTATACAAAATCATTTGCATTACATAATTCAGATGATATTGGTAGAAAACAATTAAAAGCTAAAATATTTCTTTTCTCAGTACTTGTAGAAAGTATAGAACACACACACACACACACACACACACACACACACACGTACGTATATATACAATTATAGAGATACTACATGATTAATCTCAGACATCCAGTAGGTCCCAAACTAACTGGGCAATGTTTAGGCCCCAAATAATATGCTCATAACTATTGCTAATTTTCTTTGTCAACTTAACTGTGCTCAGACAATAGCAAATTGTATTTGGGGCATACCGATGTTATACTGCATCTTAAGGAAGAACATTCAGCACATAGCTATATGGGAGCAGAAAAAGAGTAAGAATCTCTTTTTGAAATGAAATTTTGGTCAAGGTTCAGCTGCGGAAATCCACTGACCCACTTCAAAATTAAAATGCTGCTTTAGCACACACAGCACACACAGACATACACACACGGAATTTTCCACTGAGGTTGCACGTAGTGGATATCAAAGCTCTGTCAATGACACCCCAAATCACCATCCCCAAGGCCAGAATATGCATGCTGAGTTCAGGCTGCTCACTAATTACCATACATTTTTTGAGCCTTAAATCTTTAAAGAAAAATCATGATTATAAGAAAGTCAAGTTTGTAATTATAATAGAACATCATAATCATTTATAAGAAGGCATCTCTCACTTTTTTTTACAGTGAATATTCCCGAGTTAATATTATGTATATAACTGTCAAAACAGTACATTTTAACTTTCAAAATAGTATCGATTTAATGTTACAAAGAAGTAAAAGGCAAATCATTACTTTCGTTACTATAAACTCTGAGTCATTTCATCCAACTCATGACAGGTATTGTGCAAATCATATAATGTCATTATGGCATAAAGAAAGTTTTTATGTCATATCTGTTTTTACTCACCAGTTGTTTCCACAATGCCTTCTAGGATGACGACAATCTCGAACTGTTCAGTTTGCATGCTTCGCTGGGATAGGTCATAAAAGGGGCTTTTGGCATCGATCACGTGGCAAATTGTGAGTGGGGACACAAGAAAAAGTTGATCTGCCCCTGTACTAAAACCTACATCCAGTTCAAGTTGGTCAAGGGGAAGGAACTCACCCTCAGGTGTCTGCCGAGACTAGACAAGCACACAGAAAAAGAAGAAATCACCACTTGTACTGAAATTTTCAAGGCAGCCCAACAGTAATTTACATCATTGCCAACATTCTGCACTATCAATCATCTGCAACAAAATCCAAACAAATCATTATGCAACTATGTTCTAGCAAATGGGCCGAAATCCCACATAGCTCATGCGGAACATACATGCATTATTTATAATACACAACTTGCTATAATTACCATTCCCTAACTCATGAGCTTTGGAGAAATGCCTGGTCCAACAATGGTTGTTAGCACAAACTGTGGAACTGAGTGTGCATGTGCTGCTGCTTGACAGCAATCACTGCAGGATAACTCATTGCATGCCAGATATTTTTTTCTCTCAACAAAGCAAATAAATAAATAGCCAATTCTTATGGAGTTTCTTAAAGCTGACAAAGATTGACCATCATTTAGAAAGAGATTTATTGATTATTAAAAAGGAAAACACAACAATTTATTTTCCAGGCCTTCAAAAAGTAACAAAACACATATAAAATGAAATAGAAGAGTGTAGCTGTTCTCATATTAAGCTATGTTATGTACACAAGAGCTTACATAATAAAAATAAATGGCAGATGTTGTTAGCTAATGGTTTTCAAACTCCTACTAATAAACCTCATTATAAATATTTGCTTCTCTGTCATTTCATGACTTTTAAAACACAGCGAAAAATTGTACTAAATTGAACTTTCCTTAATCAAAATGCAATTTCAAAAAAACTATACCTGAGAAACAAAGTTTAACAAAATCTTTCTAAGGTAGTGGCATTCAGTTTTGGTATAAATCAATCTAAAGCTTAATTCAATAAACTGCTTGCATGCTAGAACTCTGTAAGAAAATTAAATATTACTATTAAAAATTAGCAAACCATGAGAGTAAACTTACTCATCTTTCTTTTCTCTTCATTTTCATTTTTTCCATATTTATCACATATAATAATCATGTATAAGCAAACATATATGTTTATGTAATTATGGTGGTAAAATAAGGGCTGGGTAGTTAGGATTAAGCACTGAGAAAATGGGGGAAGGGGGAGCATGCTGCTGGTCAATGGGACTTTGATGAATCTATTTTAACAGATTCCATGTAAAACGAATTTAATAACAAAACAATCTGTAAGACTGGTCTGTCCAATGAAATGATTGTTTGAAGAAAAATTCTTAGTCTCAGAGTTCCAAAAAAAAAAAAAAAATACCTTGGCTTTTTACATGCAGTAAGTGAGTCTGAAAACACTGAGAAATGTGGCTTAGCAACATGTCTTTTGTGGCAAAACAGAATGAAGGGTTCCAAATTGGTGGTGCTTTATTATGGCAACAATTGTTGTGAAGAGTTTCAACAGGAGAATTAGTCAACTAGAAAGCCTACTTTGTAGTTAGAAATATTCAGAGATACTATTTGTGTAGAAATATTCTAATGAAAAGGAGACTATTTTTCTTCTCTAACTTGTGTGTAGCTGAAAAAGAAGACCAGGAAAAAAAATGATTACTGACAAACAAACAAATAAAAGAGCTGTGGAAAAATCTGATGGTGCAAAAATTAAAGCAGCAGCTCTAGCAACCAATGTTTGAGAAAACTATGCGTTTCCAAGACAGTATGAAAAAGCTTCCAAAAGAGCTTTTTTGAGTCACCTATATTTCTAAATCTATTCTCAAATGAGTAAAATACAAATAAAACCAACATCTTTGAAACTACATGGTTGTATAACAAGTATTGATTAATATAACAAAATAAATACCAAACACAAAACAAAATTAAAACAACAAAAACAAAAACCTCGTGACAATGTTCTCTCACCTAAGAAACAGGTGCTATATGAACACAAGGTGGTATTCTGATGGGTATAATTAATTTGGGTCTTTTTGCTGACCATTCTAAATTCTGCTTTTTCTGAGCTACATAGCTTTGTTGACAATAATCATTGTTTTAAAAACTCAATTTCTCATTTGTTCTAAAATAATTTTCCCCAAAGAAGATATATTTTCCTAACTATGATATATGTGCACAAATACTAAAATTTGTCTTCCTTTTTCATACATTTGTTATTTATACCTGTGCTTCATTCTAACAGGCTTTAGAGTAAGCTACTATATTTTGCATTCCCTAATCATTTAACAACCTATGGAAATAAGTGGCCTAGAAACAGGCAGGCTATCAGGAAGTTGACAACTTGGAATAAGAAATGTTTTATTTTTACCAAAGTAGTTTATTCAGACATAAGTAATTTTGGATTAAATATGCAAAGATCTGTTCCATTTAGCCTCAGCATACCTTCTGATTTTAAATATTTGCTTTATACACTCAAAATTATACCTGTACTTAAAATACCCTATCTCTACCCTCCCACCCAAATACTTTATATCCTATCCAGGTCTTCCTATTATTTGGCACTTTGGGAAACATGCTTTCGATGGTTATATATTTTTCAGATAAGTGAAATTCTTTACATGTGCATTGAAAATTATTTTCCAGTGGATACTATATAATTTAACCTTAATGATAGAGGTGCTACACATATTTACAATTTTATTTTCCTTCCTTTACATTAGGCCACCAAGTGTTTCAACTATTAATATGTTCACCTCCCTGATTTTTTTTTTCTTCTTTGACTTTGTAGTATGCCTGGGAGCCTCTTAATCACTGAAACTCCATAGACTATGGCTCAGGTCAAAAGCAAAAGGTGCGGTTTTAATACAACAGGTGCCTGGAATGCTAGAATTGTTTGAAGTCTGAGCTTCTAACTACAGCCAAGTTATCTTAGTGTTCAGTCACATGGTTTTGAAGCTCTCAAAAGCTATACATGCTTACCAAAGACATTTTCAGAAGCACATATATTCTACTCTAGGCTTCTAAATAATTCTAATCTAGGCTGTCCTAATTCTGGTGCAATTCTGGGGATTTGCAGGAGGGGAAAAAAATTAAAAAACCAGTGTGTTAGTTTTAAATCTCAACTTGTGTAAGTGGAAGGAGAGAATGTTTGAATGTTTGTTCAGGAACTGTGATACATACATGTATATGAAAGTGAAAGAAAAAATAAAGAGGAGTTATGTATGTGTCTTTATAAAATCAATTTTTCTTGTAACTTGAGTGTAATTGGCACCACTGATATTCCATCAGCTTCATATTATTTAGCAATTAACTACAATATTTCACCCAGAAATATTTGATAATATGCAGAATATTTTGAGATTAAAAACAATGTAACCTTTCTTCATTATGTCATGGTAAGTATTATAAGAAACTTTCCATTGATAGAGCAATTTGTTGATAATGGATGCAGTTATCTCCTTTAGCTTTATAAACTTTCTAATTCCCAAGGAAACATAGAACCAGGATTGTTTTCTAGATACAAATGTGTAAATTTATATGGTTTCGATCAACAATAATTTAAATTATTTTCAAATTCAAAGTGATTGCTAAAAGTTAAGATTAATGCAGTAAATTATTTAAATTTCTAAAAAGTTGATTACTGTTTGACTTTTATTTCATAATTATTTAGAGTCAGAAGAACTGTGGAATAAATAAGATATTTAAAGAAAGACAGTGAATAAAAATTATTAATTCTAAAAATTTAGATGATAATTTGAAAAAACTATGGCTTTAAAATGACTTCCATACAACTTCTATTTTCAATTTTATTGAATCTTGGGAAGGAAATAAAGGTCTTTCCACCATTTTAATAATTCTTGTTGATTGCATTACAACAAATTCTGGGAGTTATAAAAATTGAAGAAATCTAGAGCTCAAAATTTGTTTAAATAAATTAATTGTTTAAACTAACTGTCCAAAAAATTATAATGTGAACATCAGGCATTTTTTGATAATTCTGTACAATTTTGGTTGTGGCAATAATTTTGAAGTTACTTAATATATATATATATATATATATATATATATATATATATATATATACAAAATTTAATACTGTTTCAATTATTTACATTTTCATTATATATAAATAGCCTATGTGTATAATTTAAGACGTGTGCCTCATTTTATAGTTGTTTGTACTAATTTCAAAGAAGCAATTCATGTCAAAGGACTTAGAACTTCCTGAGAGCCCCAAAAGAGGCCTACAAGATAATCAACTACAATTCTGACTACAGGTAGAAACAGAATCAAAAGTCACAGGTACCTAGAAGGGACAATCATTGTCATGTACTTTGCAGACAAACAGCCTTCATATTACAGAGGGCTTATTCAAAGACAGACAGACACATACACACAAACACACATACATACATATGCATGCGTGTCCCTAGGATACACATTTAGTACTGCCCTGGCATAAGCTGATCCATATTTGTCCCCCTTCCTTCTGGCAGATATATGGCCGAGTGTCCATATTCATTTGTCAAGGCTGCATTTTGCAATGTAATCCAGATCTTTGTTCCCTCTCTCTCTCTCATCTCTAATCTGTGACTATGTTCTTTCCTAGCTTGGAGTGAGGCTTAGGGAATTTTGAACAACACATTTAATCACTACTGTCTGATACTAGACATTTACCTCTATCATATTCTAAAGCTTGATTCATGTTTCACCACCTTTCACAAGTCCTTGCTAGAAAAGGGCCCTCAGGGCCAGTGGTCTGGGAAGGAAAGGAAAGGAAACTAAGAGAGAGTAAGCCATTCTTGCCTACCACCTCCCGATTTTATCTGTAATTTCACTTATTCTCTTTGTATGTGTAATATGCATGTGTGTGTGTGTTTGCACATGCTGAATAAATGCTGCAGTCATAAAAAAAATTACATGGAATGAGGTCAGAGTAATATCTTGCAGCTAATATTGGGAAACGAGCCAAACACAGGTACCAGGATCAGGAACAAAAGTACCTTGTAACTCAAAGTAGTTATGGCAATGGCTTTGGTGCCCAAACCAAAATGTAAGTAGTCAGGTAGAGGAGAATATAGACCTAGAAGTTTATTGGGATTGTCTACAATTACATTGTATATTTATTTGGACTCCTTAAGCTTGAAA